AGACAAAGGTAATTGTTATGCAGCTACTTCTATGTACATATAAATTCACTTTTTTACTGTTTTTCCATTTTTCTATCTTGTTTTCTTTACATTAGCTTCCCAAATTTAAATGAAATAGTATATAATAATTGGGTATATTTTTCATGCTTTAAACCTGCAAATAGTGATGGATAAAAATATGTGAACACAAACTTGTGAACAAAAGTTTACCTGGAGAGTAATTTCACTCAGAATTGGCATTATATTTAGTGGTCAAGTACACTCTGGTTTTACAGTATTCTAATTTTTATTTTGAAAGTTCCCTAAGCATGTTGAGATAGAGTGAAACTGAGTGGAGTCAAACTTCAGTTCTATTTCCACTAGTGGACTACCTCCAACATGTTGACAAATCATTCTGTGTTTCTGCTTTATTGTTTGAAAAAATAGTCCTTTTGGGAAAACCACTCTTGCCACACTGTTGAGGCTCCAGGCAAGCCACATGTGTGAGGAAAGCCTTGGGACCCAGTCACCACCACATGCTAACTTACAGAGATCTCAAGCAAAAATCTCTGACCAGTTCAGTAGATAGATGAAACTAATTATTTAGCCCTCGACCCTCGCTGGCTTCATGAAAGAAGGTACGAATCATGAGAACCACTAGGGAGTTTTAAATTAAAGAGACAAGACTCCAATTACCTTTAAAACCAGCTCCCGGATGGCTCCTCTCAGCTCCAGCCTGAAGCCACCTATTGTGGTATCAAGGTTTACTGAAGAGGCTAGTGAGAGAGAGAGAACATGCCAGGGATTGGACTTTTATTGGGGAACAAAAAATTCTGAGGAAAATCCCATCCAATGAAGATTAAGGGGGGCAGCATCCCAAGGTCAGGGGTGACAGTTGGTTCTTCAGGGTAGTGGCTAGACACGCCTCTGCACAGACAAGACCTTGGACCTGGAAAAGGGTGGGAAAAGCTCTGACACAGCTGTCCCTAAGCACCTCTCACCCAGCCAAGGAGGTAACTCAAATCATGTGCGAGGATGGCCTCCCACATAATTTATATAACTATTCATTTGTAAAAAAAAAAAAAAAATTATTGAGCATCTATTCTGTGTCATAATCATTCATTGATAAGAATACAAAGAAGGACCTTATTCTCACAGAATTTACATTCCCCTAGAGAGGCCCTCATAATAAGATTGGCAGCAGCAACAATAAAAAAAATAGCAAATAAAAATAAATAAGCAACTTAAATTAATGAATAATCCAGTTTCATTTGTTATAGAGAAAGTAGACAAAGGGACAAATGGGTAAACATGTTCTGACTAATATCATTTTTGTTTTTATTCTGTTTAGCTTGTTTGAAAGGGGAAAAAGCAGTCACAAAACGAAAACAAAATGAAAATTAAAGAAAAAAAATAAGTGAGGTTATAAGGTAACAGAATGGAGTTTATTACAAAAATCAAATTATATTTCAGAAAATTGAGAAGAAGAAACCAATTACATATTTTTAAAAGAGATTTAGAGAAAAAAATTATTTAAAAAATGAACATTTAATTTGAGCCCTCTCCAATTACTAGCACCTGTGGCTTGGCTGATATGGGGGAAAGCTGCTTGGCCATCCCAGGGTGGGGAAAGAATGAAGGAACTGGGTGATAGAGAGTCTTAGGTTTATGCATTAAACTGTGAAATCAGAAAATATGAGGATGTGTGTGGAGAATGATGAGGATTCAGTGTCCCTGGACCATGTCTTTAAGTGGACAGGGTCTCTTTCCCTTTGTAAGAAAAATGGAGTGGTTCAGGCTCCCTCATCTCATACACACACAGAAAAAAGCTGGGTAAAACAGAAATTGGTACCAGGAAGCAAAGTTGTTGCCATGACTAACCTGACCAAGTGTTTCAAAAATCTTTGGAGCTGGTTTGCTGAATGTGCAGGGGAGGGGGGATTTTGAATAGTTTAGAAATTCAAGTTGGCAAACCTTTAGATTTTTGTAAGTGGAACTTCATAGGGGATTCTGGTGGGAACTCATATATTTGGGAAAGTGAAAGTCTATTCTTTGGCTTTGGCCCATAGATGTTCATTGATTAACTTCCCTCTCTCTCTCTCAGGACAATATAACCCGAATTTATTAACTTTAAGGAACGATAATTTAAGATACAAGAGTCTCATATTATAGGATTTCAAAGACTATACAATAAAAGGAAACTGACAAATGGTCAGCTAATACACAACCCAATCAGTTAACAAACAGGGCCAAAGATCAATACAAGTCATGCACCATCTTCTGTGTAACGCCTTGGGTTTTTTAATTCCAGAGGTAGATTGATCTAAACTGGCTGTTAAGTATACCTCTACCTGAAATTAACATTTGAATGGAACATGTTTTAATAGAACCTACCAGCACTGATTTCCTACTGGTTAAAGAATTCACCAGGTGATGCTCATATTTAGGCAAATGTTAGAATAGTTAGAACAATGTCTTCAAGATAATACTGGGTGATTTTTCCCCAAAACAAATAAAACTTAAATAGACATAGGGTAAAACATATTTTATAATTAAAGAGTCAGGTAAAAATGATCAAGTCTCAACAGTACCTATTTACAAAGTTAGAAATAAACACAACATCTAGGAGAGCCCATTTCAGTTCTGGTTTCACCACTATTAATAGAAAAGCTGAGACAGGTCACTTTGTCTAAGGATGACCTGAAAAGTCATAATAGCATCTTAAATTCAAAGGCCCTTTAAGTCTTTTCATACCAAGTAGAAATTGAGGAAAGTACAATCTGAGAAACAATGATACTGTTCCTCATATGTCACTGGGTCACTAGTAGTCACCCAAATCATATCTCAATTCCCAGTGACTTAAGTTAGAAGCTCTTTGACCTGAAAGACATGCTGACACCCTATCTGGGGTCCAGAATAAAATACCCCAATTGTCTTCTCCTGGCACCAGCTGACTAAAGTCTACATATGCACAGGACTGACTTAAAAATCTATTGAATACTTCAGTTCATTAAAGAAAACAAAATCTAAATTACATATGAGTCAACAGAAGTTTAACTTTAGTTGTTTAGTGAATTTTGAATTGGCCATTAGTGGTAAATACAACACTTTGCATTTGTTGTAGAAACCAAACTAATCAGGCTTTTCCCTTGACAATACAATGATCATTTGTGTGTAAAGTGCCAGTTTTATTTACAAACTAGTTAAGTAAACTTTAAAGTCTTCTTTGTAGCAGTGAGACTGACACCTTAACTGTCTGGTGGTTGTAACTGATGTTCAATCCTGCTGGGGCAGGCTTGCTTGAGGGTCCCTCACTTGGAAGCCGGGATCATCATCATTAGTGCTATGAAGCTGGACAGCTGCTTGCAAAAGCCAACAAGGATTCTGAGGTAGCTGGTGGATGCATTTTAGCTGATTTGGGGGGATGGGGGGTAGGTGATAAGGGAGGGGGAAAAAGTCATCCAAATAAAAACACATCTTCTGTTCATTTAAAAGTTAGCATCCAAGGTAAAAGAATTATCTGTTGGATTCCACATCACTCCCATCCTCTGATACTTGCCTACTCTCTTCTCAAAGAAGTTAGTCTTCCCTTCTAGTGAAATATTCTCCATAAAGTCAAATGGATTTTCTACTTTGAAAACCTTGTTAAAGCCCAGCTCCAGCATAAGCCTATCTGCCACAAATTCAATGTACTGCTTCATCAAAGTGCAATTCATCCCAATTAGCTTCTCAGGCAAGGCTTCTGTGAGGAACTCCTGTTCTGTCCTGACAGCATTGATAATTGTTTTTTTTTACTCTCTGCTCTGATGGCTTGTGCAGCAGGTGTTTGAACATCAGGCAGGCAAAGTCACAGTGTAAACCCTCATCTCTGCTAATAAGTTCATTGGAAAATGTGAGGCCAGGCATCAGTCCCCGTTTCTTGAGCCAGAATAGAAGATTCCCTCCACAGCAGCAAAGGCTACAACACGTTCTCCATAGGTAGCCTCTTTGTCCCCAATCCAACACAAGGCCCAATGGCTTTCTTCTTCACACAAGGAATTGTTTCAATGACATTGAAGAGAAATTCCCTTTCTTTGGAGTCTTTAATGTAAGTGTCAATAAGGAGACTATACATTTCAGAATGTATGTTTTCCATGGCAATTTGGAAGCCATAGCAACAGCGGCTTCTGTAATTTGAACTTCTTGGCTAAATCGCTCCACCAAATTCTCCTTTACTATGCCATCACTTGCCGCAGAGAAAGCCAGAACGTGGGATATAAAACATTGTTCCTCAGGCTTCAGGGCTTCTCAGTGCTGATTGTCCTTGGAAAGAGCCACCTCCTTGGCTGTCCAAAAGGAAGCCTCAGCTTTCTTACACATCTGCCAGATACCATGGTATTCCACAGGAAAGATGATCAAGTGGCAGGCGTTCTCTCCCAGTAGTGGTTCATCCTCCACGCTGGGGGCAGGTACTTTAGTTTTGGCTCCAGGGGATCCTGCCTGCCTTGGGTAAACTGAAAGGATTTATTGGGTGCAATAGCTATCAATTGGACCTGTGTCTGTAAATATACTCCATTCAGAAATTTTAACATGGCTCTGGACAGCCATATCCTTGAGATGAGCTTAGCCTGAGGGCTGAGCTTCAACTAGACTTCAAAACTCAAATACTGTTTGGTTCTGAGAAGCAATTACATCTTCCAACACTGGAAGATTCAAAGTTTCTCGAGAAACATGGCAATTTTTGTTCATACTCACAGATATTTTCCTAGCTCAATTTAAAAAAAATAATGTAGTCAACTGCACCACAATATTCAATTATAATCTCTCCCAGGAATGAGAAAATCCTCAGATATGTGATTGACTTTCCTTGTAATCATAGGTAGCCACTTACCAAATGTTTTGCCAATTCTTAATTTGCTTGCCAGCGACCAATAACATATCTTTTTGCTCATTGAGAATAAATTGATAAGAAACTGATGGTGTATGTTAGATATTTGGTTTCAGCATAACTTTACTTCAAAAGGCCTATCCCATAATTCTTGATTTTAAATCGGATACAAATCAACATATATATTGAAGACTGGATTCATGGAAGTGAAAGAAACACAACTTGGAATTCCAGAATGAGTGACTTTGCAACATTTTTAGACCTGATCATATTCAATATGACTATGTTCTCCATAACTCCATTTACCGTAGCTTTGATCACTTTTCTCCTGCTAGTCTTCTCCTTGTGGCAACATCTCCAGAATATGCAGCACAATTTCAAAGGACCCAGAGACCCCAGGACCAATGCCCACATAACTGCCTTGAAAATTATGATCTCCTTTCTTCTGCTCTATGCCACTTACTTTCTGTCTTTTTTCATATCGTGTCTTTTGAAGATGCATCAAAGCAAGCTGGTTCAGATTCTTTCCCTGAATTTTGGACTCATCTATCCTTCAAGCCACTCATTTATTTTGATTTTGGGAAGCTCCAAGTTAAGGGAGGCATTTCTTTTGGTGCTGAAGCAGCTACGGTGTGGGCTAAAAGATGAGAAACTCACTACTCTGTGAGTTGTTTAACCATGAAGTATGAGGCTGGGGATGTGGTTTAGTGGTAGAGCACTTGCCTGGCATGTGCAAGACACTGGGTTAATCCTCAGCACTGGAAAACAACAACAGCAGCAACAATAACAATAACAACAATAACAATAACAAACAAAAACTAGATGCTATTGCATGTCCTAGATAATGAAAGGAATCTATGAAGAGATCAAAGATATTTATTTCTTCCTCTCAGGTTTTCCAATGTAAAGGTCAATGTAAATTTTTTTTCAAATGAAGGTCTATAATAACATTGTACCTAAGAACATTACATATTTATGATGTGCATTTCTGTAATATTGATAATTTGAAATGATTTGAAGAAATTGTAGATTCCCTTAAAATTTAAAAATATGTACCAGGATGGCAGATTAGAGGAAAGAAGCATCTAAGGTCACTTAGATATTAATTACGAACCTGTGAATCTTCATTATTTTGGCTGGTAATAACCCTTAAATTCTAAATTATTCATTGGAGATGGGTATTATTATCTCATGTACACCTATTATTTGGTGACTCAAGGACAACTTGAAGTTATTTGGCATAGAAATATGAAAAATTTGTATTTTTTTACTAGTACTGATAGAATGGGAACATTGAGAGCATTAAAAGGTTTAACTACTGTCATATATAAATATCTAGAACAAATTTTTAAAAAGTTTAAAATGAATAACTGCCATATGAAATAATGACCTTTCTTTTCTAGTTATTATGCTGTACCTATGTGTACATGCATATTTTACTATGCCTTTTACGTAAACATTATCAAGGTATAATTTATGTATAATAAAATGCACAAACTTCAGTGTACATTGCAGTTAGAGTTTGACGACACACACATGTAGTAATTACAGCATTAAAGCTTTTTACAGTTCATCTTGCTCCTTGTCAACACTTCTACCCAGGCAGCTACTTATCTGATTCAGTAACTAGAGAGAGTTCTTTGCTTTCTATAATTTCATTTATATATAGCCTTAGAATATTTACTATTAGAAACAGGATTTCTTAAATTCAGCATAATGCCTTGGAGGTTCATCTGTTTTGTTGTATAGCTCAATAGTTTGTTTCTGAGTGGTATGCTTGAGTATTATTAAATATACCACCGTGTTTTGAATAACCAATAAAAAAAATACCACCTTTAAAAATTCTTTTACCTATTGATGAATGTTTGAATGGTTCCTAATTATTGGCCACTATAAACAAAACTGCTATCAGTACTAATGTATGTGTCTTTTTTTTGGATATATGATTTTATTGCTATCGGGTAAATAGCTAGAAGTGTCAAATCATATGTGTTATGTTGAACTTTATTAAAAAACTGTCAAGGAAAAAATATTGGCCAAAGAGCCCTCTAAAGTGGTGGTTTCATTTTAAATTCCCACTAGGAATGTGTGAGGGTTTCAGCTGATGCTCTTTTTTTAAAAAATTTTTATTTTAGTTGCTCTAATCAATGTGTAATGGCATGTAGTTTATTCCACATTTTCCTGTTGGCCAATGATGCTGAACATTTTTTTCAAGTAAATTTGCCTTCATGTAACTTCTTTTAGGAAATGAGTTCAAATCTTTTGCTTATTATTTAATTTGGTTCTTGTTTTCTCTTTTTATTGTCAAGTTTTAACTGTTCTTTACATAGTCTGAATATTCATCTTTTATCAAATACATATTTTGTAAATATTTTCTCTGAGACAGTGGCTTGCCATTTCATTTTCTTCATCGTGTCTTTCAAAGAGAACACATTCAAAAAAATTTTAATGAAATCTATTAATCAATTTTCAATGCTAGTACTTTTTCCATTCTGTTTAAGAACTTTGCATACTCTGAGATTATGCAGGTTATCTTCTATGATTTATTTTAGAAGCTTTATAGTTTCAGGTTTTATGTGATTCATTTCAAATAAATTCTATTTGCAATATAAAGTGAGGACAGATTCATTTTTAAAATACAGATATACATTTTACCAGTACCATTTGTTTAAAAGTCTATTTTTTTTCTCATTGTTTCAACTTGGCACTTTGTTAAAAACCAGTTGATCATGCATGTGTGGGTCTATTTCTGGATTATTTATTCTGTTCCTTTGATTTCTATGTCTGTCTTTATGTCACTAAAATACTAAAATACTTTCTTGATTACTCCAGTTTAATACTACATCTTGGAGTGCAATAGCAAATGTTCTGACATTCTTCTTTTACAAAATTTGTCAGTTTTTCTCTGGTTTTCTTTGCTTTTGCGTATACATTTTAGATTTTGTTTATCAATTTTTTAATAAAGTTTTCTTGAATATTTGTTTGACTTGTATTGAAGGTATAGATATGTACTTGGAATAACTGACACCTTAACAATAAATCTTGTTCTTTACCTGGTCCATTGTAGTTTCCAGTGTACAGTTTTTAGACACAGTTTGTTAAATTTGCCTATACATTTTCATGTTTCTGTGCCTACCAACAATGCTGATTTAAAAATTTCAGTTTCTAATGGCTTGTTAATAGTGTACAGAAATGTAATGGTCTTGTGTATAATACTGACTTTATGTTCTGTGAACTTGTAAAATTCTCTTGTTAGTTCTAATAATATCTTTTGGCAATTTCTTGGGATTTTTATGTATATGATTTTGCTGTCTGTAGATAAACAAATTTTGTTTTCCCCATTTGCAAACTTTATAGCTTTTATTTAATTTTCTTGTATTGTTTCACTGACTAACCTTTCTGAGGCAATATTAACTATCAATGCTGGGAACATATGTCTGACTTTTCCTAATGTTAGGATAAAGTGTCCATTTTTAATCCATTAATATAATGCCACCTATAATTTTTTCATTATTAAATCCTAATCAGTCTTAGGGTTTCCATTTATTCCTTATTTGCTGAGAGCTTTTATGATGAATGGGTGCTAAATTTAATCAAATGATTTTATGCATCTATTGCAATGATTTTATTGATATGACTTTACTACCTCATTTTGTGGATAAGGTGAATTATTTTTATTCACTTTTAAATGTTAAGCTGGACTTTTATTGCTAGGATAAATTTTATTTGATCCATACTTTTATTTCCTTGTAATATATTTTCTCATTTTGGTATAGGATATCCCCAACTTCATAAAATAAGTTGGTGGTAAAGTTTCCTCTCCTCCACTATTTTCTGACAGATTTATGTAAGATTAGTATTTTTTTCAAAAATATTTGATTTAAATCACCATTCAGGCAATTCCTTGTTTTATGAGAAGGTTTTAAATTAGGAGTTTAATTTTTAACAACAGATAAACAAGGTTATTAAGATTTCTATTTCTTCTTGTAACAGGTGCAGTAAATTTGTCTTTGAAGAAAGACTGATGACAATCTTTAAATTCCAAGAATTCTAAAGAACTTCTTTATAGCCCTTCTTTTCTCCAATTCAGCTAACACTTGATGTATTATTTAAATTAATTGCTATAAAATGCCTTTATTTTATATCTCATACATTTATATCTAATCCAGATCTCATCTCTGAACTTGATTTATGTACAGTCTTCCTACTCAAAGTCTCTAGCTGGATGTGGAAGTCACATTTCAAACCTGACATAGCTTTAAGAAATACATTATGATCTATGCCCACATCCAATACTGCTTCTGATATAGTCATTTTTATCTCAGTTGAAAGCATCTTTATACTTCCAGATACACAGAAACCTAACCTTAGAGTCATCTTTGTCACCTCTCTTTTTTTCATACTCTGTCTCAAATCCACCAAATCTGTCTCAGAACACTGTGTTAACATATATCCACAATCCAACCATTCAACACTTCATTCAATCACAGTTTTTCCATGTTCACACCACCAGCACCAGAATTTAACCCTTATTTAAACCATGTCCTAGGTCTAATATCGCCTTTTTTTCTGGTTCAATCACCAAAAGCCATCTAATTTATTTTTGTTTTCATATTCTCAGAATTAGATTTTATTCTCAACAAGAGTATTTTTTTCCAAATATAAGTTAAATTATGTCACTTTTCTGCTTAAAATCTTCCAAAGTCTTTGCATCTCACTCAAGTAGCTGAATCCTTTCATTATCCCCTGAAGTCTGACATAATGTTTCTCTTACAATTACTATTTTATACTTTTTCTTTGGTCTGTAACTTTTTTCAGGTTTCCAAAATTGGTTGTTTTGTTTTGCTTTGTTTTTCGCACCATGAGAGATGGAACCCAGGACCTCACTCACACATGCTGGGCAAGCACTTCTACCATTAAACTATGTCCCCAGCCCCTAATTTTATTTTTTAAAAGGAATAATTCTTATTAGATTTAATTCTGTAATCTAGGTGCTTGTTCTTGATTTATTTTTCCTTTAGAATATTCCTTTTTTTTACAGTGACTTTTAACCAAAAGAAATCCTGTGTTGGCTATTACCATCTCCTAGAAAGGGATTTATTTTCTAGTATGTGTCCTTGCCTTTCCTGTACCATTTGAATACAATTTAAGTTTTACTCTCAAAGTTTAAATTCTAGTTTTAGTTGTAGATGGACACAATACGTTTTTTTCTCATTTATTTTTATGTGGTTTGTAGGATCGAATCCAGTGCCTAGCACGTGCTAGGGGAACGCTCTACAGCTGAGCCACAACTGGCTTGTGGATAAAGGAGGAGGGAACCTCACTGGAAGCATCTAGAAGTAGGGGTTCTGGAATGCTCTTTTGTTGTGTTTATGTCTATCAAATTTTGAATTCACCCATATCCAGAAGGGAATATGACAATCAGAAATTTCATGCTCACTATTTTATTGAAATATTGATGATATTTTTATTACTGCATTTTTTCCAATGGTCTAAGTTTTTGAAGGACATTATCTTCTCATTCATTTTCTGAAACAAACAAATGAAGAATGAATAGAGAATATGTGACTTGCAGAAGATTTCTGATCCCTTGATAGGATTGTGAAGCCAAGTAGTAAGGTACCATGACTTCTCTCTTTCCCTCCCCTTGCCTTCCTTCCTTTACTA